GGGATGGGGATGGGGGTGCGGGTGTTTCTGAGCCCAGTTGGAGGTGGGGAGAGAAATCCCGTGCCTGCAAGGCACGGGTGGGGAGAGGGAGGTTGTGAGGTGAGGGATTCGTCCAGGACTTTGGGATTGGCACGCTGACAGCCCTGAGGTGGAAGGGGTGGGATTTTTCGGCAGTAGGAGTTGGGACTCGGTCTCATACACCCCGTTTCTAAGGAGCATAGGGCCCCGCGCACCTTGTTTTACTGTTGAAGTGATGCTGGCTTGCAAACTACCTGCTTCACCGTCTCTTTTACTCTCAGCTTTCCTGCTTGTCTACTTTTTGGAAGACTCGATCTGTTTGCTGAGCAGGCTAACCATTCTCTGTGGCTTACCGACACCAGGTAGCAAACTAGTTGCAGGCTCTCATACCCTTAAGATGTGTAATAGAGCATGTTGCTTGAATGCAAAAGATGCAACCTTAAGGCCTTTTCAGGCACAGAACTCACTTGACTCAACTGCTGCAGTAGCGAGATCTCTGCTACTACGCTTAGAAGAGGGATTTCACCCTTACAAAAAGAAGGAGTGAGCATTAGCCCAAGAAGTGGCAGTTGTCCTTCATTGGGTTCTCCCAGGCAACTCCAAAGTAAGTGTGTAACTTGATTAATGTTACAAAGGCTATAGCATACTGTAGTCTAGTGGTGCAGGAGCATTTATATCTGGTGCTAATTGTTTGTTGTCATTTTCAGTAGGCATTGCCAATGGATGAACTGGTGCATGACTTGGCCTCAGCCTTAGAGCAGACTTCGGAACAAAACAAGCTAGATGAGCTATGGGAAGAGATGGCCCTAAGCCCGCGGCAGCAGCGGCGTCAGCTTCGCAAGAGACGGGGTCGTAAACGACGATCAGACTTCACACATCAGGCAGAGCATGCCTGCTGCTACAGTGAGGCCTCAGAGTCAAGCTTGGACGAAGCTGTCAAGGATTGCCGTGAGGTGCTGACAGCCAATTTCAGTGATTCTGATGACACGGCAGTGGTCAAACGACACCCAGCTCTTAGTGCCACCCTGAGGAGCAAGCAACACTCGTGGCATGAGTCAGACTCCTTTACAGAGAATGCGCCCTGTCGACCTCTCAGGCGCAGACGGAAAGTCAAACGTGTGACATCAGAGGTGGCTGCCAGTCTCCAGCAAAAGCTCAGGGTGTCAGAGTGGAACTATGAGAGGGGCTGCAGGTTCAAGTCAGCCAAGAAACAGCGTCTTTCTCGCTGGAAGGAAAATGCCCCTTGGACATCATCCAGTCATGGCCTTTGTGAACCAGGAGACAACAGGCCCTTCCTCAGCAAAGGGGGAAGGAAGGAGCGGATGGAGTGTGAAGCTGATGAACAGAAACAGGGCTCAGATGAAAATATGTCGGAATGGTGAGATCTCAGTTTCTACTGTGTGCTAGTCGGATGGCCACCTTGCTTGCCGCTGCTTGTAAATCCTGTGCTTTGCTTTTAGAAGTTCTTACCAAAATTATTCAGTGCTGTTCTCTTTTTGAAGAGGAGAAATATCTCAACTACTTTTAAACTGTAGATTTTTTCCAAGTCTTTCCTGTCAGTGCTGTATTGATGACCCAAATGCTTCCTTGAAAAGTTGGTAAGCTGATATGTTTCTGGCTCCTGTTACACAAGGAGCCTTCTGAAATGTCTGTGGCCCTGCGTCTACAAAGTGGCATGCTTGTGGCCTGAGAGTTGGAGAGTACATCCACCGTTGGCACTTGTGTTGCATGATTGATATGAACTGATCTCAGTTTCTTGTTTTCAGAATTTACCATAAGTAGTAATAAGAGAATAGGTCAGATCTCCCGTCATGACCCCTAGCATTCTGTGCAGGTGCTGTGTGAACCTCAGTCAAAACATCTTGTTTGCAGTTCTGCATGTCTGCTCTGGATCTGGAATAAGGGACTGAAAGGCTAGCTATGGGGAAAATGTAGCGAGGTGATAAAGAAGTTGGGGGAAATTTACATTACTTGCAGGATAAGCCTGTGCAAACAGTGGAGTCTGGCATGTCTTTGTATCCAGTTTTGGACAATTTCGATGAATGTGTGGCAGAATCTCACACAAGAGATGAAAACGAGATGTGTGAATGCCATGGTCTGAATTTGTGTGTCACTCTTGGGAAGTTTTCCCCGTGAGCGTGACTCTTGTTCTCTCTGTAGAAGGTTTGGGGTTACAAAACTGCTTCTGTACGAAGATATTTTTCGGGTTAGAAAAGAAACAACTGCTGAGAATCAAATGGAGGAGATTTCTTAATGAATGGCATACAGAAAGTGAATAGGGTGGGTTGTTTGCTAATTATCTTTGTGTAAGAAGCAAGAGACATTGAGGAAGCATTTAAAACAAAAGTATTCTTTTTCATGAAACACGAGTTTTGGAACTCTACTGTGGGACGCTTTGGAGGTAAAAAATTTAAATATGTCCAAAGGGGGGATGTGGAGCATAGATTTATCAGGGACTGTTAAGCATTACAGCCCAGATGGAAGATCCATCTCAGGAAGTCCTTAAACTGCTGACTGCTAGAAGCTGGAGGAATATACAGAAGAAACAGTTGGTCTGTATTTGTCATGTTCCTCATTCTTTCCTCAAGCATCCACTGTAATAGGCACTGTCAGACAGAGGACAGTGGATTTGGGAAGTGTAATTGTTTGATCCAGTATAATTGTTCATATGTTAAGATTCCTTTAAGTGTTGTGGCTGTCTAGCTCCTGCAGTTTGTCAGAGTGGACAGGCGGCACTTGGTTATTGAGGGCTTTGTGGATAATAGGTGGAAGTGCAAACTTCTTGATGGTATTTTTTGGGAGACTATGAAAAGCATAGGTTGTAACACGTCCTCACTGTCCTGATCCAGGGGACCACTATTGCATTTTTACTGAATCAGTGTGGTTTGTATGTAACCGTTACCAGGTGGAAGTAGCAGAAATATGGTCATTTTTTTTTCCTTAAAAAGTAGTTATTGTTTACTTAAAATGTGGGTGCAGTGGGCCTTTTCAAGAGACTAATGGATGCTTTTTTGCTACTAGCTGTTAAAAGCACTTGTGTCTTTTCAGAGCTATTTGCTGGTAGTCCAGGAAAGGGAATGTGCTGAGTAGCCCCTGAATGTTGCATGTCAGTGGTGATGGACTGAGAGATACCCTTACTTGATGTGGCAGTGATGGACAGCGTTTCTTGAGGTTTTTTTTCCACCAGTCAGAGTCTGTTCCATCATGTCAAACTTGAACTTAAACCAGCAGGCTTTCATCCAGCCTTTATTTGTGCCAGCCTTTGAAAGAGTAAATAAACAGCTTTGTCTGGGCTGTTACTTGAGGACCATGCTGGGAGATTGCTGTGTTCTGTCTCAGTTGTCCCTTGCTCTCAGGCTAATTATTGTGCAAGTGTCTGCATCAAATGATATTTACCGTCTGCTGCCAAATCCTTGGGATTCTTTTTGGAAAGCCAGGGATTGGAATATTTGACCTCTCCAACACCACATGTGTGATCTGTGCTATGACTCACTAGGGAGGGTCAAAGTTGGAGAGGGAAATACATACAACCCTCTTCACTGCAGAGTGTCCCTCACGGCAGTGAAAGATCACGCTTTGGTCTCTGCTGCTCTAAATATAGCACTTTGCTGCTAGCAGCAGAGTGAAACTGGCTGTGCTTACCTCGCTCTCACTGTGCTCTAGCTGTTTTTTCTGGTACCATAAGAGAAGTACTTTGCACAGATGTATAACAAGGGCATATCCTGAGGAAGGGAGAAGAAAATTGGATGCCTAGGTGAGCAAATGGTATGATTGTCATCACAAGCTGATGGGAGGGAAAGTGACTGATAGGCTTGTGGGACTTGGAAGCAGTCTGAGGTGATCTGGTGATCTGCGAAACACTTTGATACTGAATTGGTTCCACTAGTGTTCACTCCTCTAGCAGCGGAGTGTGTCACAAAGCTAATGTGTTTTTAGGCAAACTAAGTTACATATTCAGAACTAATTTTTTTTTCACCTTCTTTTTCCTCCTCTCCACTGACACTTGCTTTTCTTTGTTAGGTAGGAATGAATCTCCGTAAATGCTAAAATACCCAGCATTTTCTCTGCTTTCTAGAAGGCTTCTTATCCTATCAAAAACCTACCGTATTCAGTAGATAAACTCCCAGTCACTGAGAAAGCTTTGCATATGGATCCTTAATGAGGAGGCAGTTTTCATAGTTTGCTTGTGGGACTGCACCCAGTCTTTTCCTGGAGGAAGATGTGCTAGAGTATTGTGATTCAAAGTGTGCGTGAAATGAAATCTTTGAAATTATTTGCCAAACGTGGAAAGAGGTTAACACAAATTGAGAGAAGGAAGGATGTGCAGGAACATGATGAGGGAAGGATGGTGGTTCTAAATTGGGTAATGATGTGACTCAAAGCCTGATCTATAAATGATTGTGGAAACAACAGAGGAAGCAAGTGGTATTATTTTAAGTAGCCGTTTATATTATTTGTACAAAGGTGACAATTAACTGCTAAGACTGTTAGAAGTAACATGCCTTTCTGTCTCTTAATGCTTTGAGATTCCCTGCAGCCCTAATAAAGCAAAGGCAAATCATATATTGAGTGCTGAAGTTCTTTCTCTTGTTGGTCCAAGCTGAGTACTCCCAGAATGGTCTGGGTTTGGTTTGAGGGCAGAACAAACCATAGTACAAGAGCTGTCTGAAAAATCACTTTGAATTATGTGCTTACTAGTGAGAGATGTGCAGTTTGTCTAATCTACTCTCAAGTGCCATAAGTCCTAATGTGACTTTTTCAAACTGGCGATTGTACCGACCCACTAATGCCGTGTGACTTCACTGGCTTGATGCTGATGTATTTGTTGTAGTTTAATCTGAATAGGCAGCTAAGCCCCACGCAGCTGCCCACTCACTCCCCTGCAGTGGGATGAGAGAGAGAATTGGAAGAGTAAAAGTGAGAAAACTCATGGATTGAGAGAAAGTCGGTTTAATAGGTAAGCAAAAACTATATGCGTGCAGGCAAAGCAAAATAAGGCATTTGTGCACTACTTCCCATCGGCATGGAGATGTTTAGCCATTTTCCAGGAAAGCAGGGCTCCATCATGTGTAACAGTTATTTGGGAAGACAAATGCCGTAACTCCAGATGTTGCCACCTTCCTCCTTCTTTCCTCCACCTTTTATTGCTGAGCATGACATCATATGGTGTGGGATATCCCTCTGGTCAGTTAAAGTCAGCTGCCCTGGCTGTGTCCCCTCCCACCTTCTTGTGCACCCCCAGCCTACTTGCTGGTGGGGTGGTGTGAAGAAACAGATGGCCTTGGCACTGTTTAAGCACTGCTCAGCAATAACTAAAACATCGGTGTTATCAACACTGTTTTGGTCACAAATCCAAAACATAGCACCATAGAGCTACTATGAGAAAAATTTAACCCTATCCCAGCCAAAACCAGTACAGTATTCTGGCCTGGAACTGTAACCAGTGCTCATCCTGAGTATGCAGTGTAGTCGCTGTACCCTTTGGAAGGGAGCTGTTTCAATGACAGCCTGCAGTGGCAGTCAAGAGCCTGGTTAAGCTGATGGATTGGAGGCCAGTCTCCCTGTAAAGAAAAAATTCCTCTCTCTTGGAAGGCAAGTGACAAAGACAGAGTGTTCAGCTTCCCCTCCTTCTCCAACCCAGCCTGACCTTCTGCAGCCCCTCGGTGCCTCTTGTTTTCTTATTTTTATAGAAAATCAATATCCCTCCTGACACAAACAATAGCTCAGGCAAAAGAATAAATGGGGGAAACCTGAGATCTCTGTCCATCACCTCTCACTTTAACTCCCCCAAACTATTTAATTATAAGCATGCTTTGCTCCAGGTGTTTGCAACAGTGGAATTGCTAAATGAGGACCATTTTAACCAAAGATTGGGTGATCAATAACACTCTATAGCAGCAGCTTGTCGGATCAATAGCATTCATTATTTCCTGGTTAAGGTAAGTAGCCTCCTTTGCAAGTGGAGGTCATTAATCAGTGCTTACTGGACCTGCAGAAAGGCTTGTGTAGGAGTCTAGTTTGTTTTCAGCCCTGAAGTATAAAAGGGGTGGTGAAGAGGGTGAGATCCATGAAAGTTTGTACCAGTAAAGCACTGGCAGTAATGTGTATCTGTGTGGGACTAAAGAGCTCTCAGTACAACAGGATGCTTAAAGTATTATTAATATGATCTGGAATCTTGACAATGCTTTTTCCTTTCTCAGGCACCTTTCCTCTGAGGATGCTAAAACCCTTATGAAGCAGTCACTCAATCCTCGCATCTGCTGCTTGTGAGGACTGTTAATCCAGGCTTTCAAAAGGGAAAGCAGACACGCTAAGAGATTTGCCCAGGGTCATACAGTGAGTTGATAGGAGAGCTAGGAATGAAACGAATGGCTCATGGTTCTCAGTCCTTGGGCTTAATTGCTATGGTGTATATGTGGGAGGGTGAATGGATGGCCAAACTTTGTAATGGATTGATTTGGAACTTGATATTAACTTACATACTGAAATGTGGGAATGATGTACAGACTGTTCATCCTTTAAGTTTAAATGGCCTTTATATAATGATGAAGATGCAGAGTTTGTAGATATCCAGCATGATGAGTTGATTTGACTACAATTTACAGTGCATTACAGTGGTAATATGCTCACAAAATGGGGTTTTATTATGTGCCTGCAATTCTTCAGGGTGACACATCATGTGGTCCCTTATCGTTCAGCCTTTTGAACCGAGGGGTCTCCAGTTGATACTGGTGTCTAGTATGATCCAATTTCCCTGGAGAAGAGGGACCCAGAGATGCTTTCTAACCACATGCCCTGGTTAGAGACTTATTCTGGTGCTGAGTTACACCAGACATTCACACCTAAGGCCTTAGTGCTAAGAGGGTGGGCAATAAGTAGCTTCTACTTGTTCTGGTGTCTCTCTGCTAAATCTGAGGAAGTATAGCCCGAAGTGTCCAAGGATTGATTTAATATCAGCATTAAAGCCATCAGACGCTTGGGACTGACCTGAGCATGTACTTCTGCTACAAATATTCATCCAGCTTTACAGTCAATTAACAGCTTTCTACACATTAATTTCTAGTTTAATTCTTTGGTTCAAGAATTAAGTCTCCTGTAACTGCTTCAGCAAATGCAAAGCATGCTGTAACAAGGCTGCATTCAGCAGCAGCAAGTCATGCTGTGCTAAGATGTTTAGATGAAGAGTTGTGAATGTACCAGCTGCTCTTCCCTCCAAATAAAATAAAAGTTGCCATAGATTGAAGGGGGATTTATGTACCTGTATAATATTTTTGAGAAACAGGATTCTGAAATAAAACTTCAGAGGGTTTTCAGTAGCTGTTAAGTGACCCAAGGACAGAGTTTTTAACTGCACTTAATTTCCTAGTGAGTACTCCAGACAATGTCATAGTAACCTTATTAACTCTAGTACTCGAGGCAAATGCCATTTTATTAATTACTTTTTGATAACTTAAAACTAGACTAGATACAGGATTCTACTCTTTTTCAAGTGATGCAGCACTGCTAGGTGTTAACAGAAAGCAATTATGTCCCGTGCTAGAGCCAGCCATGTATCCGAAATGCAATTTTTGTGAGATAAGTAAAGCATTTTGGGCTCAGCGAAGCTAGTAGAATGTAACAGTGATTTTGTTTTGTATCTGCTGCAATTGTAACAATGGGCTTTTTTGTTTGTTTTTGTTCCAGTGAAACCAGCAGTGTATGCAGCAGCAGTGATACTGGCCTGTTTACCAATGATGAGGGCCGCCAAGGTAACAACTGTCCTGCGATTTTCCTCATGTGTTGCTGGGGAGTTTCTTTTACTTTCTTTACAAATACAAAGAAAGATCTATATTTGAAGAGGGACAGAGAGGGAAGTATGGGAGAAAGGCTGGTGACTGGGAGGGGCTAGAAGTTAAGATGTGAGCTGACGGCTACAAAGGTGGGATTTTGATAACGCTACACTCTTCCTG